TTTCCGGGCCACCTGGTGGACGTCAGCGGCACGGGGACCCTGTCCCATAGCTACCAGTACGAGGTGTGTCTGACGGGAGGCTCTGGGAGTAATGAGTTCAAATTCTTGAAGCCTGTCTTCCCCAATATTCTGGAATCGGACCTTGGGAGGAAGTCAGAAAGAAGTTCAACCTTCCAGAATAGTTAGGTATCTAAAACTTCCCCAATGCAAACATTAGTTTTGTCTCCTACACCTTTCCCTTTTTTAACCTAGTAGTAATCTTTAATGCTACTTGTCTTTCTTCTTTTCTGGTTTTTCTTAGTAATACTACTCATTGTTTTGTTGGCCTGTTTGTCCTATAATTATTTTTACAATTATTGTTAGTAAAAATTTTATATCAGGAAATTTCATATTTCTGATTAAACTTTTAGTATTTATTTCTACATGATAATATGAAAGTTAGCCTCTCAGAATAAAAGTAATTCTAAGTTTAAAAGTACATTTCTCACTATATGACACTACATAAAAATGTCTGATCCCTTTTTATCATACTTCATTTTTTAATTACTGGAAGTTTTTTAAGTTTTTATTATTTACACAGTTAGACTTGTCTATAACCCGTCTTCTGTTTGGAGTGGAATCAGTTTATATTTACTTATGTCCAATTTCTTCCAAGCTCTGTTTGGATTTTTGTTTTACCAATAGGCAGCAATATGTATAATTTCATGCTATTTATTTCAAAAATCACACTTGTAATCATTGGACTTTTACTCTGAAATATTGCATATGTTATCTCATGCAAGTATATATTTATCATCTATTCTTTCTCATCTAAATTAATGTTGAATATACTTGTAAGTTCTTCCTTATATCTAACTGAAGTTGTGATCCTGTTAAAGAGTTTACTGATACCAGGTTGACTATGTTTAAGGAGTTCTTTAGACGTGACCAAGTAATGCATTGCCTGCAATTGTCCCTTGCTATTGTAGATGAATTCTCAAGTGAGCTCCAAATTCTGGGCCTAGAGGAGCTTTTGATGACACAGCATTCCAATGTCTGCTTGCCTTTGGATGACGACATTGTTCTGGTTAATAGGGAATTTGAAAGAAAATGCATTGTAGAATTAATATTACTTAACCAAAGAAAGCTTAGTAAAGGATATGTTGGTGAGGGAGTTGAATGATTTGAAGAAATAATCAGCTCTGTTGTCAGGACTCCTCTATCTCCAGGAGCCTCATAAGTGGATACTATAGAATGGTGTAGTTGACAGCGTAATGGCCCCTAAAGACATCCACATCCTAATCCCTGGAACCTGTGAATATTCTGTGTTGTATTGCAAAAGGAAATTAAGGTTCAGAGGAAGTAAGGTTGCTAATCAGTTAGTCTTAAAATAGGGAGAATATCCTAGATGATCTGGATGGGCCTGATTCAGTCAGTTGAAAGGCCTTAGAGCAGAGCTGAGTCTTCCCTGAGATGAAGAAAGGCTGACTGTGGGCAGCAGCTTCTCATGCCCCAGACTTCCAGCCTGCTCTTTCTAATTGCCTGCTCTACAGATTTTGGACTTGCCTAGCCAGCTCACCCAACCAAGTAAGTCACTTCCTTGCAATAAATCTCTTAATATATATCTCCTGCTGGTTCTGTTTCTCTGGTTGAACCCTGACTGATACAGATGTTGGTACCTTGAAGTGGAGTGCTGCTGTAACAAATAACTAAAAATATGGAAATTGCTTTGGAATTGAGTGGCAGGCATAGGCTGGAAGAATTTTGAAGCGCATGATGGAAAAAGCCTAGATTGCTTTGGACAGACTGTTAGTTGAAATACAGATGTTAATAACTCTGCTAGCGAAGACTCAGAGGGAAGTAAGGAGTATGGTGGAGAAAACATATATTGCCTTATAGATTACCTAAATCAAAACCTTAGGAGACTTGGTAGTAATATGGATGTTCCCTGGTGCACAGTGGTTAAGACTCCGCCTGCCAATGCAGGGGACAGGGGTTCGAGCCCTGGTCCAGAAAGATCCCACATGCCGCGGGGCAACTAAGCCCGTGTGCCACAACTACTGAGCCTGCGCTCTAGAGCCCTCGAGCCACAACTACTGAAGCCTGGGTGCCTAGAGCCCGTGCTCTGCAACAAGAGAAGCCACCGCAGCAAGAAGCCCACGCACTCTGTGCACCGCAACGAAGTGTAGTCCCTGCTCGCCGTAACTAGAGAAAGCCCATGCACAGCAACAAAGACCCAACACAGCCAAAAATAAATAAATAAATAATTTTTTTTAAAAAAAGTTTAAAGTCACTGCTGATGAGGGCTCAGAAAGAAATGAGGAAAATGTTATTGGAAACTGGAGGAAATAGAATCCTTGCTACATAGTGGCTGAAAACTTAGCTGAATTGTGTCCTGCATGGAAATGTGGGAGGAAAAGGACTTGTAAGCAATGAACTTGGATATTTAGCTGAGGAGATTTGGGCTGAGGAGGCATGGGTTGAAAGTACAGCATGGTTTCTTCTTGCTGCTTATAGTAAAATGTGAGAAGAATGAAATAGATTGAGGGAAGGACTGTTAAGCAAAAAGGAACCAGAATATGATGATTTGAGAAATGCTCAGCCTATTCAGATTGTAGAAGATGCTAAAATTAGGAAAGTGTGTTCTGGAGAGAAAGCCAATGATGTCACAGGTGTACAATATTTGTACTAGGCATACACATTGAGATGATACTATAATGAGATGTGATCTTTGAGGACCTTAAATATATTTTTTTGTGGGATGGATGTGAATCTTTGGGGACAAGAGGGTGGACTGTGGTAGGGAGAATAATGGCCCCACAAAGTATCTATGTCCTAATCTCTGGAACCTGTGAATATCTTATGTTATGTGGCAAAGGGGAATTAAAGTTGCAGATAGAATTAAGGTTGATAATCAGCTAACCTTATAAGGAGATTACCCTAGGTTATCCAAATGGGTCCAGTGTAGTCACAAGAGCCTTTAATAAGAAGTGGAAGTGGGAAACAGAAAAGTCAGTATCAGAGTGATGTTCTGTGAAAAAGACTGAACCAGCCATTACTGAGTTTGAAGATAGAAGGGAGCCAAAAATGAGGGAATGCAGACAGTCTCTAGAAGCTAGAAAAGGCAAGAAAATGTATTCTCCCTTAAAGCCTCCAGAAAGGAATATAGTTCTGCCTTAACTTTAGCCCAGTTTAACTTCTGACCTCCAGAACGGTAAGATAATTTTGTGTTGTTAAGCCACTAAGTTTATGGTAATTTGTTACAGCAGCTATAAGACATGAATACAAATGGCTACCAACAAAGCCATTTCCAAGCCCATTTTTCTTTTCCTTCCCCTACTCTAGTCCAAAATATTCATATTCCCATAATCTCTTGCAGGTAGGAGTGTCATATAACTTTGTTACTGCTACTGATGTAAAAGTATAATTGGGAATTGGGATTAAGGGAAATATTTTTGAAAGGGGTAATCTGAGGTGGCATGTTCCTTAGGACTTTGCCCATTTTCCTTTTTCTTAACTGGCATGGGTACTGATGAGTAAGCCTTGAGTTGAAGCAGCCAACTTGCAACCATGAGATGAATACCATAGAACAAAGGTTATATACTAAGTATGATAAGGTGGAAAGCCCTTGAATTTCTTACAACATTGTCAAGCTGCTGCAACACCTCTGTGCTACCTTCTCCCAGGCTTTATGTTGCACTTTATAAATAAACCCCTATGTGATTAAACAACTGTAGTCAGGTTTTCTGTTGATTACAGACAAATGCACTCCAAGCTGACACATCTCTCCTCCTCGTGAGTAAGGTTGATTTACACAGTTGTCTGACTAGGTCCTATGTTGTCTGTTTAAGATGTATGAGATGTTTGTCAGAAAAATAGTTTTACCTTCCCTTAGGTGTTATCAAGGGACAGTACTCTGAGTTACTATGGCTGACTTTATATCTTTATTCAGTCATTTCTCAATTTGACTAATATAAACATACACAGATAATTGAACTTTCAAAGGAATCTTCCTAGTTGGTAGCAACCCAAAAAGTTGAGTTTTGGAAAATAGAATGAGAAAGTGACCTGATAAATGCCAGCTATACTATTAACCTGCATCAGTGGTGTCCTTACAAGACGACTGGAAGTTTAGAACACTTGTTTCCCTCTCTGGCAGGGAAGTGGCACAGCCAAAAATTTTACTTAGTAAAATAAATTGACTAAATATGAGTCCTGAAAATCTTCATAAGAAGATCAGCAGTCTGCATGTTTTGGTAGAATATGCCTGATGGAAGGATCAGAAATTCCTAACAACATTTTCAGTACACAGAGATGTGTGTTTTGAGGCCTCAGTGTGTCAGGAGCCATTACTCCTTTCCTGTCTTACTTTACAAATATTGGTAAAGTGTAGAATTTAAAGGCATCTCCAAAGTCTTCCTACTTATGTCTTTCTTGGACTGATCTGGAATACCTTGGAAAGAGCATTCCTTCCAGGTTATCAGCATAATCATGAAAAATCAATAAAAATCTATCATGTTACATGATGGAATTGCCTCAAGAAGTTTTAGAACTCCTTAGCTTCACCCAGAGTGTTTGTGTATTTGTGTATGTTTGTATATGTGTACATTTGAGTGTGTGTGTATGTGTGTGTCTAGGGGAGTAGCTTTAGCAGATGGTAGAGGTGCATCTCTGGTATACATGCAGAGATATATACCAGATTAACAATGCTTTTCCATAGCTTTTCCACACTGTAAAGATATTTTTCCCTTTAGTGCATAAGTGTATGTCATAAAATTGCCATTACTGGGACTTCCCTGGTGGCGCAGTGGTTAAGAATCCACCTGCCAATGCAGGGGACTCTGGTTCGATCCCTCGTCCGGGAAGATCCCACATGCCACAGAGCAACTAAGCCCATGTGCCACAACTACTGAGCCTGCACTCCAGGGCTCGCGTGCCGCAACTACTGAGCTTGTGCTCTAGGGCCCGTATGCTGCAACTACTGAAGCCTGCATGCCTGGAGCCCATGCTCCACAACAAGAGAGAAGCCACCGTGATCAGAAGCCCACACACTGCAACGAAGAGTAGCCCCCACTCGCCACAACTATAGAAAGCCCACGCGCAGCAACGAAGACCCAGCGCAGCCAAAAATAATAATAAAATTTAAAAAAATAAAAATTTGCATGGAAAAAGGAAATGTGAATTAAAAAATTAAAAAATTAAATTGCTGGGCTGCCCTGGTGGTGCAGTGGTTGAGAGTCCGCCTGCCGATGCAGGGGACACGGGTTCATGCCCCGGTCCGGGAAGATCCCACGTGCCGTGGAGCGGCTGGGCCCGTGAGCCATGGCTGCTGAGCCTGCACGTCCAGAGCCTGTGCTCCGCAAAGGGAGAGGCCACAACAGTGAGAGGCCCACGTCCCGCAAAAAAAAAATTTTTTAAATAAATAAAATGAAAATAAATAAAATTGCCATTACTAACATATCCTAAAATAGATTATATTTGCAAAGTGAAGGATGTTTCTCTTTGTAAATTTAACAATGCCAGAATTATTGGATCTAGAAGCTTAGTAGCCCTCTTGGCCTTGAAGGAGCAGCCCAGGGGAGGGAAGTGTAGACTAGACTTGGTCCTTTTTTCCCCAGTGGGCTCAGGAAACAATAAAGTTGATGTCAGGATGTGTCAGGGCTGGAATTAGGGTGAGGCCAAGTTCTGCAAGTGTAGGGTTGGATCCTGTCTTTATTTAAAATATTAATATTTTGTTCATCATGAATTATTTCATTAAGTTTGACTTTTTAGAATATCGCATTAAGTAGTATCTATCTTTACTACTAAGTTTTTGGGTGACCCATTAATTTTGCTTCTGAGACGCTTGCCTTACCCTAGTCCTGGTCCTTTTGGTAGTTTCCATTTTGCCAGTTCAAATGGCCATCATAGCAGTAGTTTTGGTAGTCACAGCTGAAATCTGAGTGGTGAGATCTGAATCAAGTCCATCTCCATTCTGAATATGAGCTAGCAGCAGCAACAGTAGAAGAATACAAAGATCCAAGGAGATCTGACAAACTGGAGTCCTGCAGACTGGGAATGGAAGAGTACCTGTATGGCTGTGATTCATCAGGCAAACTGTTCATATGTTTTTCTTCCAGGTGGCATGCAGCAGTGTGAAAAATGTTATCTGTTGGGGGATAACATTTGCCACTTCATTGTTGAGAGTTTTTGCATCTACGTTCATGAGGGATATTTGTCTCTCTATATTTTTTCATGTTATCCCCTTGTCAGGTTTAGTTTCAGGATTATACTGGTCTCATAAAATGAGTTGACAAATTGTTTATTCCACCTCTCTTTTATGAAAGAGGTTGTGTAAGATATTTATTATTTCTTCTTTATGTATTTGATAGAATTTACCAGAAGCCATGTGTGGCTACCGTTCTCTTTGTGGGGAAATTTTGAATTGCAAATTGAACTTATTAAATAGATATGCTGCAATTCCAGTTTTCTATTTCCTCTTGTGTCAGTTGGTAACTTGTGTTTTTTAAACAATTTGTCCATTTTACCCAAGATGTTAATACACTGGCATGAAGTTATTTATAATATTCCTTTATTATCTTTTCAATATATTTAGGATCTGTAGTGGTACCCCTCTTTCCTTCTAGTTATTGGTAAACATGTTTTCTCTCCTTTTGCCTTTATCAGTATTGCAGTGAGTATATCAATTTTATTAATCTTTCTTTTTTTAAACCAACCTTGTCTTTGTTATTTTCCTATTACTTTCTGTTTTCTGGTTCATTGATTTCCACTCATATATTTTTATTTCTTTTCTTATACCTACTTCAGGTTTAGTTTTCTATTCTTTTTCTAGTTTCTCTGAAAGCTTAGATCGTTGACTGTTTTCTAATACAGATTAAAATATATAAATATATAATTTAAAGTTATAAATTTCTTTCTATGCATTAATTGAGCTGCATTTCATGAATTTTGATACATTGTGATTTTATTACCATTAAGTTTGACTTTATTTACAGTTTCCCTGTTGATTTCTTCTTTGATCTATTGCTTAACTAGAAGTATTGCTTAATTTC